GTGGACCCGGTGGCATTACTACCCCCTTAAGACCCCCGACCTATCTAACCCTGGACCAGTTGACCAGGAGATCTACGCCTTTGACTTTCACCGGATAGACTTTGACCAATGGACTTCCCCACCTGGTTGTGACAGGTCAGCCTATGGGAACACTTCGGAACAAGGTCTGGGCCCTACCCACCACAGGATCCCCTTTGTTTGGCTAAGGAATGAATGATATTCTAAAAAGTCAAAACAAATGGGTGTTTTCTGTAAATATGAAGTAAACATTATTTTAGTTTGTTAAAATTTGAAAACATAGTATAGCAATAGTATCCTTTCAAGATTCTGATAGAAGAACCATTTAAAAGTTGTCAAAATCAATGCAAGTATCAGTTACTTGTGATTTTAAAAAAGTACAAGGACCTATATGCAAAAGTACATGAGGTCACATTTCTAACATACACAAAAGCAAAAACAAACTGAATATTCATAATCTATGGAAAATTCTACCCCAAATCGATATATAAATTGTGTGAGCGTATATAAATTAGATTTAAACTAATCAAATTTTAACTAAAAAAGAAAACAATTTAAATTTTAGAAAATTAAGCCGACGACTTAGTTGTCGGCATAGACAGAAAACTATGCACGTGATCTGTTTAAAATAAAGATGTAATATATGCCGATGGCCTCTGTGAGGGCCGTCAGCACAGTTATGACGGCGTCAGCCCGACGTCAACCCCCGGGTCTCGATGGTCAAGTCAATGCTGACGAATGCCGTCGGCAGAGATGGAGATAAGCCGACGGCCTTACTATGCCTACGGCAGCCGTCGGCGTAGATCCTTGTATGCCGACGGCTTTCCACGGGCCCTCGGCGTATCTCAAGGTATGCCGACGGCCCTGACAAAAAGCCGCCGGGCTGGTTTGGTTTCGTTTGAACTGATGTTTGGCGGTTTGATGTGTGGTAGCGTTCTTGGATATGCCTAAGTTTGCGGCGTGTTCTTGTCTTTTGAGCTTGGTGTTAGTTCTAGTGCTGCTTGTAGTTGAACCAGCTGGTTTCTTTAATAAAAATCGAGAGGAAAGGCCCTTCTTTCGCTCAAAAGGAAATAACTGACCGAGTACTTGCGGCACTCGTCATGATGATATGTAACCAGGGCCAATTCAAAAGGGCTCATTAGAGACCATGAGATATACACGCTCTCTGCTCCTAATCACACGGGCACTACCCACTGACGAGAACAGAACTTTCCCTCTCCGTTCTTACTCATCAGGCGTCTCCGTCGAACGGTTCTCCGGCATGATCACAGGTTGACGCGGCAATTAACCTGTCTGCCTGCTCCCGACTTTGGCACTGTTTTACCATAACCCACTCGCGGTGATCGGTCGTCAGTGGAGGCCCTTTCCACGGCAAATCCAATCTTTTCTGAACCCTTTTGTGCGTCCGGGTCGCCAGCTTTAGATAACCTCCTCCCCTGCCCCCTCTTTTTGGGTAGAAAAAAACACGCCCATGCCGAGAAGAGCACGTCGCCTACCCCGTCGACTTGTCAAGATGGCGGATCAACGTGGAGGTTTCAATATCACTTTGAGGTTTGAACCCTGGTTAGCTGAAATGTTGTTACTAGTAAATGCTTGTAATGTCTAATATTCTTGTCATTTTCTGTTGCGGCGTCGCATCAACTGATCGATAAATACACACTGACAGGACACTTTATTTTATTTTATTCAGACGGGGATGACAGAATGCTTAGTTATAACGGAGAGGAGAGCGGCGTGCACCCGCAGGCACCAAGAATCCAGTACATTGTCAAAGAAGAAAAATTCAGGCTGCAAGTCTGCAATGGAGGGAAAAGTTTTACTCCTCCGGTGTATGCGAAGTGTTTGCTTATTATTCCCTCCGTTTCAAAATAAATGTCTCAACTTTGTACAACCTCTAATATAAATTTGTACTAAGCTCAAAACACTTATTTTGGGAGGGAGGGAGTATTATACGCAGCACGTGCACCTGGCTAGTTGTGCGAAGCAGTCAAAGAACATCACATCAGTTAACCAACCGTTGAAGATGAGCGAGCGCATTCGAGCTTGTGAAGTCAACACCTGCAACGTAATCGCGTTGAAGTTCATCATGCCACCACACAAGGTCTCCCACGAGATTTTTTTGATTATAAATATTCTCTTCCGCAGAAAAACAGCAAGTGGTTGTGATTTTGTGAATCTTATGGATTTCAGTCCATGAGTTATTGAGTCGTTGAGCGAGCCTGAGACCGAGAGAGCTTGTCAGTAGGAGTATCTCAGCTGCGACTGCATGCGTGCTTGCTTCAAAAAGAAAATTATTAGCTCTGGAGTTTTTTTAAAAAAAAAACATTAGCTCTGAAGTTGATCGATAACCCCGGCCTAAAGAACAATCAAGTTGATAGGCCAGAGGAGGCTGATAACCTGGCAATTTAACTGATTGCATCGACCCAAAGATTCGAAGACCACCGGTTTATTTATGTCAGAAGGCGCCACCTGTGGCTGTGGATCGGACTGTTGCAGTTGCCATGACAGCGTACTTACCCACTGGAGCATATCGAGATCCTCCTCCTCCTCCGGCACGTCACCGTCGTGCCCCCAACATCCCGTTGATACGCACTGCCAACAAACCCAGCTAGCGGCCAAGCCGTGCGCCGTGGCCGGCAACGAAAACTCCCACCCCTACACCTACACCTCCGTTCTGTTCATCAATCGGTGGCCAAGTTGCCACACGCATCTACGCAGCAACGGACTTAACCATGAACGCCCCTCCACTGTCCCATCAGCTAGATGCGCTCCATCGGTACGCCCCGGTCGTTCCATCCGTCGAGACAACGAAACCTGGGTGTAATATCTATATCTATATTACTTATAAAAGAGCAAACATAATTTTCTTTAAGTGCACCCCACAAAACGTACACGGATACATTACCACCGCATGATTATCCCACTAAACTCAATCTAACGGCTAGCCTTAACCTAATCTGTTCTCTGTGTGCACTTAGCAATTTACATTGACTGACCGTACTCCACCGTGGAGGAAAATATGAAGTCCACGCCTGGTCAATTAGGAAACTATAATCACGGACACATCCTATTAAGAAACTAATCACGGACGCATCTAATTATTAGGAAACTAATCACAAACGCATCCTATTATTAGGAAACTAATCACGGGTGCATTCTATTATTAGGAAAATAATCACGAGCGCATCCTATTAGGAAGTTAATCATGAACACATCTAATTATTAGGAAACTAATCACGGACGCATCCTATTACATAACTAATCACGAACGCATCTAATTATTAGGAAACTAATCGCGAGTGCATCCTATCGTCTCCTATGAGGGAATCGCGATCGCGAGTCGCCTGTCGTCACCAGCCGACCACCCACGCGAGCCACAATGGGAGACATGCGAAGAGGAGCTGCGACTTCCTCCGAACACGCACACATGCCGTCGCCGCCTTCGTCTTCTGCCTGGAGGGCAGGTCACTCTTCTACTGACTGCAACGACTTCGCATCATACAGAGAGACCAACCATGTTTCTCCGAATATCTTGAACCATGATCCTTATGACTTCATCTCTACTACTTATAAGAAGTACATTTTTTTCATTTGACTGTTTTCCCGACTTGGGAGGTAAGGTATGTTTTATCCACTAGAGTTGCTAAAATTGGAAGCATATCTGCAGTTTTTTCTTTCTAAACCGGCATTTGTTGGCCCTTTTTTGCCACTGTTATTCTTACAAGTGGTAGCCTACGTATCATTATTACTACAAACTGAGAGGATAGTTGTTATATTGTCAAAATTTTAGAATGTTGAGCCCTTAAAGAAATGTGTAGTACTCAAGTAACTGTTCCAAGTTGTCATATTAATGCTTTTGTCCCGTGATTAACAAGTATAATTACGCAATTTATCAATGTAATTTTTATTTGGTTTACATGTTCTATTTTCATAATAAAGTAAGCCACTTTTCTTGCTTCCAGACATTACAACACTTGTGGTGTAATAGTAGAATCGGATGGTCCAACTAGCATTTTTTTTGTCTTGTTTCACAGTTGATTCTATGCAGTCAAGACATCTCTACACTTCTCTATGTGACAATGGCTTCCTCTTTTCAACAAATCATAGAGGTCTCTTCCCGCTATTGTGTGGTTGACACTCAATTGTAATAATAATTCTTAACTGGAGTTTGTTAGCACTGAAACGGTTCCTTAGCTTGTCCTAAGTGACTTTTTCATGTGTGATTATACTTGCATAAATGTGTGCATATGGAGAATCATGATGAATCTTCTAAATAATTTTGAGTTTTAGACATTGGGAAAAGTGGGTGGTCTTTTAATACAGGAGACATGTTGATTAAGGAGAAACGAAATTTCAAATTATTTGTATGAGTTGGGAATAAGAGATTGTGTACTTTATAGGGAAATTTCAAATTTATGAATAAATTGTCTTGTATTAAGTATAGTATAATGTGTTAATCCAAATAGACGCGTGTTGCACGTGCACACTTATTAGTCCAAATAGACGTGCGTTGCACGTGCATATTTACTAGTTCAGTATAATCACATGCCTTTGTTTTTTTTCAAGAAAAAAAATCACATGCCTCAACGTGTTAATTACTCTCTTAATTTAAAACGTTCTTAGATTATGAGACGGGAGGGAGTATTTCGCTGTAGGTTCAGTTAATTTGCCGGTGGAGCGGCCAAAAGAGAATCAGGATTCAGGAGCCTGATACGCGCGCGCGCTCTTGGCGTGCGCTCACATTAGTCGGCTTTTCGGCACGGCACCGCGGCGCCTATATAGGGAAGTAGCTCAGCTCTCCGCTGCGTGCACATATCGATCGAGCAAAGGGAAGAGAGGGGGAGAGAAGAGAGAACCTTCTCGACCGGTGAGAGATTATTTTCACGACGTGTGAGCCTGGCACTGGTAGCTTGGCCAGCCACCTCTCTTTCCGGGCCAGTCTTCTCCCCGCCTGTCAGGAGCTAGCGAGCTAGCTAGACGGCATGGGGGCTCCGAGCAGGGAGGAGGAGGAGGCGAAGAAGATGGAGGCCGGCGGCGACACCGTCGGCCAGAAGCTCGACGCCGGCGCGCTCTTCGTCCTCCAGTCCAAAGGTGCCTCTTTCATCTGCAATCACTTTCTCTTCTGTGGCACGTCAGGGGAGCACATGACCTGCATGTGTTCGTGGAGGGAGCGTCAGGAATTCAGGATCATGTTGCATGAAACTGTTGATTGGCTGTCCCAGCTAAAACAGTAGCCCTGATTACTAACTGTACATAGCACCAAGGTGGCTTTGGCCATGCCATTGAAGCTCCATCTGTGGTGATGTCCTGATCAAAAGTTCTTGCTAGCTAGTGGATGCATGTGTTGAATTGGCCCCTTGCCCATATCTATCCTTTCAAGAGAGTCTCTTCTTCTTTCATCCTTTTTTCACTGTCTACTTTTATGGGAGTTGTGCTTTCAACATGCCTGCCTTTTCCCCCTGCAAATGTCACCTTTTTTACTTTCTCTGCCCTCTCCACTCTGCGTGCCCAAACGTTCTTTAGCAGCAAAGAAAGAAGAGACAAAACACAATAGTACTCGCGGCACGCAGGGATTCCTGGCCATCCATAGATGGCCATACTCCTCCATGTGCATTCCCGCAAAATGTGCACTGCATCTTATTCCTAGACTAGAAAACATGTGCACTAAATATTACTACTATCTAGTGTCTGTAAACATGTGCAGCCAGATCACCCCAACATAATAATAGTATTAGTCTGCTTAGCAGCCAGTCAACTGGTCTAACGTCTATGACGCTCCAGCAAGTAATGTTTTTTCAACTTCCATTAAGTAATTATTAGTTAGACCAACTTCCATTAAGCATTTGCTTGTGCTAAACGAGGTGTTAGTAGTGGTGTGTGCACCGTGGCCGGATCGGACTGGTACACAATCACCATCTCGCGGATACAATACATTCATCACGCATCCATATTGCACACGCTGGACAACATTAACTAGCATTGTCTTGCAGAAAATAGACCACTGAAAGGTCGGCCGCTACGGCTTGAAATTCCACGCTGATAATCATACTATACATGATTATCCACTCTAGCTAGAGAAGACGAATAGTAACAAGTGCGGCTGTAGGTTTATGTCAGTATCAATGCCAAGTCTCCCAGCACGTCTTGTATGTTGAGCTGTTGACCCCTGAACCACACGCTCGGCGTTCCGATTCTGAGGAGAAGCGTTGAGTGCGCTGACGTGCACCCAAGGAAATTTAGCACAAGCAAGAATAAACAAGTTTTATCATCGGCACATGATTTCTTCGATGTGGTGCACGGTGGATTCGTGGGGCTTATTTTTTTTTTTTTTTGAAGCAAGGCAAAAGATTTGCCATTTGACAAAAGTATCCTCGCTTGTCGACAATGAACAGACAGTGTTTCGTGGAGCGGTAATAACTGACATGTCGATGTGTGCAAATATACTGCAGGGTCATGGCTGCACTGCGGGTACCACCTGACGACGTCGATCGTGGCGCCGCCGCTGCTGAGCCTGCCGTTCGCGTTCGCGGCGCTGGGGTGGTCGGCGGGGATGGTGTGCCTCGTCGTCGGCGCCGCCGTCACCTTCTACTCCTACAACCTCCTCTCCCGCGTGCTCGAGCACCACGCGCAGCAGGGCCGCCGCCAGCTCCGCTTCAGGGACATGGCCGCCGACATACTAGGTCAGTACACTAACAGATCGAGTTAACACGTACATCATGCGATTACGTGCTCTGGACCTCCTTTCGTAATTTTAGTATGTCATAGCTCTAATCATGTACTTCCTCAGTCACATAATATCATGTACTCCTTTCATCCCATAATATAAAACATTTTTACAAGCAAATTTAGGTTAAAAAACATCTTACATTGTGAAACGGAGGGAGTACAAGATGGTAGAATTAGTCGTTGATGGACAGGCCCGAATGCTACGTGCAGTACGCACCCAAGCAAGTTTGTGCAGTCCCCGACGTATGGTCTGCGTGCAGGACCATCGCTTTCTCTGGTCAAGCGATTTAGGTCCCCGTCGAGATGCCACCGTTCAACTACATATATACACCGCCGTGCGCCGTGCACGGCCGCACAAGTCCACGTCAAGCATGCATGACACAGGCAGACAGTCGATGTCCAAAACCCAGGCACCATCTTCCTGTACGTGGCGTTATCCTTTTTTTTTTCTTTTTTTTTTTGCGTCGAATTCAGGACTTTATCAACGTAAAATCATAGTGTTACTGCCCGCAGGCTAGAAACCAGAAACTCAGGGCTTGCATCAAGCCAACTCTCGATGCCATCAAGTGTGCTAGCTAGATGAGCACATTGATGCGCCGGAATATTACTTTCCCTGCTGACATGAGTAACAGAAAGTGAAGCAAAGGAAGCACCGATGTCCTCTAATTCGGTCAAGATAGGCGCTGCAACTGAACGAGTGTTGTTGCGCGAATTCCATAGATCAACTAGCTCCAATCAGTCAATCTCCATGATCACATGTGAGAAACCGCGAAGTTGCGCAAAGATCATCCCGTCTCGAAAAGCAAGCAACTCTGCGATGAAGGGGTCCGTTATGCCAATCACTGGCTTGCACCAGGCACCAAGGAACGCAAAGTGCGATCTAGCCACACCTCCCGCTCCCCCCTTCATATCCTCAGCATTGAGCGCGCCGTCGGTGTTTATAGTGACCCACCCGGCCTCGGGTGGCCTCCAGCACTGTCCAGCCCTCAATCTCCTTCGCGAGGAGGGAAATTCCAAGATCGCCAACGTCTCGTGTACCCATTTCAGTGCTTGTACAGGGTCGTAACCATCGCGATCGTGAGTCCAGCAGTTCCGTGATGACCATATGCTATGCATTATGGTAATAATCTTGCATCTTTCCTCATCAATGAACATAGGGTCAATCAGAATATCACGTGTCCACGTGTCTGGGTGCAAGCGTGGGAGGTGTAGCTGAAATCTGTCCCTTGCCGCAGCCGAAAGCCCTTGCATGAGTGCAATGGATCAGAGCATGTTGCATGTCTTCGTCCGTTGCTTTGCAAACATCACACAGCCCCACCTGCTTGATGTGTCGATAACGCAGAGTAGTCGAGTCAGGGAGAATCCCGCGGAGAACTCTCCACCGAAAAATCCCGTGGCGTTATCCTGCCGTCACATGATTCGAGCGTAAAACCAGCATGCCGGACATCTGCACGTACGTACGTGTATAGCACCGATGGATGGGCAAATGATGGGCGTGTTGGACTACTCCACGGCCTTGGTCATGCATGCATGGCCGATGCATCTGAGGTCAAAGCACGTGGTCAAGGACTACTAGCACTTGCCGACATCCAGCAGTTAGCTCCAGCCTTTCGGACCCGAGGATCATGAGATGCCATCACGTGAGCACCTTCTTCCAATAATTTGCGACTCCTTGCGTCGCCTACAGGCGACAGATCTGGTCTTGACGGTGTGGGCGGGGGCACGTACGCACTACCGTGGGCTCGCCGCCGGCATGGCATGGTAGGGCAGGGCAGGAGAGCAATTTCCGAAGGTGAAAACGAACAATGACCGTGGCAGAAATGTGCAGACTATGATCGAATGGCGTTCCAGCGAGCAATTTGTCAAAGAAATGTCAGCGACCATGTTAACACTTAACACTCCTTCCGTGACGCAGGACCCGGATGGGCGCGCTACTACATCGGGCCGATCCAGTTCATGGTGTGCTTCGGCGCCGTGGTCGCGTCCACGCTGCTCGCCGGCCAGAGCATGAAGGCCATCTACCTCATCGCCAACCCCGGCGGCGCCATCAAGCTCTACGTCTTCGTCGCCATCTTCGGCGTCTTCCTCGTCATCCTGGCGCAGCTGCCGTCCTTCCACTCCCTCCGCCACGTCAACCTCGTCTCCCTGCTGCTCTGCCTCTCCTACAGCCTCTGCGCCGTTGCCGGCTGCGTCTACCTCGGCACCTCTGACCGGGCGCCGCCCAAGGACTACTCCATCGTCGGCGAGACCCACACCCGCGTCTACGGCGTCTTCAACGCCCTCGCCGTCATCGCCACCACCTACGGCAACGGCATCATCCCCGAGATACAGGTACCTGAACGTCTGAACCCTCTGATGAATCTCTGAAGATCCGTGGCTTGTTACGATTGACGAGTAATTACTTATGTATGTATACCTGCTGTGCATGGTGACTCCAGGCGACGGTGGCGGCGCCGGTGACGGGGAAGATGTTCAAGGGCCTGTGCCTGTGCTACGCGGTGGTGGTGACCACCTTCTTCAGCGTGGCCACGGCCGGGTACTGGGCGTTCGGCAACGCGGCGCAGGGCCTGCTGCTCAACAACTTCATGGTGGACGGCAAGCCCGTCATCCCGGTGTGGCTGCTGCTCATGGCGGAGCTCTTCACGCTGGTGCAGCTGTCGGCCACGGCCACGGTGTACCTGCAGCCGACCAACGAGGTCCTGGAGGGCCTCCTGTCGGACCCCAAGGCCGGGCAGTACGCGGCGCGGAACGTGGTGCCGCGGCTCGTGTCCAGGACCTTGGCCGTCGCCTTCGGCACCACCATCGCCGCCATGATACCCTTCTTCGGCGACATGAACGCGCTCATCGGGGCCTTCGGCTTCATGCCGCTCGACTTCGCCGTGCCGGCTCTCTTCTACAACCTCACGTTCAAGCCCTCCAAGAAGGGCTTCGTGTTCTGGCTCAACACGGCCATCGCCGTCGTGTTCTCCGCGGTCGCTGTCGTCGCGTCCGTGGCCGCCGTCAGGCAGATCGTGCTGGACGCCGGCACGTACAAGCTCTTCGCTAACGTGTGAGGCTCCGCTTGACGTGGTACGTACGCGAGGAAATGTTGAGGTCGCCGTTTGTGGCTTGGCATTGAGCTTCGACTTTGCCGACGAACCGTCGGAAATTGTTGGTCGGCTGAGTACATATCGAGTTTTGCTTCTGGATAAGTTATGTAGGCAGATGAATGTGACCCGCAAGCGTTCAGCTCGAGGGGAAGAGTTGAAGTGTGCTCTTATATATAGCTTCCCTTGTACTCCCTCTGTTCCTAAATAATTGTTTTTCTAGATATTTCAACAAGTAACTACATACGGAGCAAAATAAGTGAATCTACACTCTAAAATATGTCTATGTACATCCGTATGTGGTTGTCCATTTGAAAGCTCTAGAAGGACAAATATTTAGGAACGGAGGGAGTATCTGTGAATGTTGTTGTCGAAATGGTGCCCCTAGATCTCACTCGACTAATACTTAACCAAATCTCAGTCAACTGACGTAAGAGCCACTCTAGCCGATCCCTAAAACTGGTCAGAGGACTAAAATTCCCCACGCCCGAACCACTCCAAGTGGCCCGAGATCTTCATGGAGATCCTACGTCGTGCGACGTTCGAGGAGCGCGCTCGCTTTGCGGGCGACGACGACGGCCTGAACTTCGAGATCATCTTCTGGGCGATCCAGGAGGTCGAATCGTCGGACCCAAGGCAGGCGGCGAGATGGGCACGATTCAAGTCGAGCTCTCCATCAAGGCTTAACATCCGGCCTCCTCCGGTGTTGCAGATCTCCCGCATCCCATCGGAGGCGCTGCCGTCAGGGGCCGTGCTCCCCAGGGCTCCTTGAAGCTTCAGCAACCCGGCGCATGGGCCTTGCAGGGTGTCCCCGCTATGCAAACAGGGCGCAGGAGGATCAGGGGTTCCTCCCTGGAACCTCCACCATGGCCGGGTGACCGCGGGGAGAAACCCCATACAAAGGTGCGAAAAAATCAATCCAAACCCTGTTCAGATGATTTACTCAGCGCTCGTTCTGAATTTCATTCAATTGAGGATTCTCAGATTGTTCTGGGTGGGGGATTTAGGAAGGAAAATGTGGTTGATACAAGTGGAAGGGTTGTCCCTTTGGGTAGCCATTGCGAGCCCACACCCATTCATGGGGCGCCGCGATTTCCTTCTGATGTTCCAATTCCGGTGACCCATTCTAACTCCGACGAGCTCGTTTGTGCGAGGGAGACAGGACTGTGTTCAAACGAACCAGTCGCTGCGATAGGGCCAAACCCCACCCCATCTCCGTTGATCAGGGGATGTGTGGTTGGGAAGAAAACGGATACTCGAAATACGCTTTCCACTTTGATGAGCACATTTGGAGAGGAGGTGGCGGATTTCTTCGGTCAGTTGTGGGTTATCCCTTCCCCAACCCGTAGCCGCCGCCTACATAAACCTAAGTAGACGCCTCCGAACCCTAGCTACGCCATCCCCAAATTGTTTTGGGTGAGGAAAGATCTGTTCCACTCAAAGAAATTTACGGTCCAAGACTGCTTCCCGATCTCTTCTGTTGGTCCGTTTGATCCTATCTCTACCACCTTCAAAATCTTCACCGAAGACCCTAGGTTTCCTAGATCGTTCATGGAAGCTGTTAAGAAAGGGATGGAGAATCGTGGCCAGATGCCGCAGAGAAATTGCCGCCCTCTGCCGGGGAAGAAACCCAACCCCCAGGAGGGGAAATCTGCTACCGCTGTCGTGGGCGCTGTCGGGAAATCAGGTCAGCAGGGGGCGATCAAATCCAACCAGGGGGCCGAAGCCCAAGTGGTTCCTCCGGCAGCTGCAACCCCACCGCCTCCTCCACCTCCCCCAGTGGTACAGCCTCTTGATCCAAAGTACAAAGATATGATCTGCTTCAATTGCAGTTGGCCTGGTCACTATGTGGGGAATTGTGTGGAGCCAAAAAACTGTTTTATCTGCGTGGGAACCACAATGTCAACAATTGCGCTGCCTGGGTGAAACCGCAACCTGCTGCCACTTATTTTGGTAGTGCTGCTTCCGGACTGGGCTTTTATCATATTGAAGTTCCTATGGCGGCCGAATCCAGTTGGCTTAACTACAAAAATTGCGATGTTCTTAAGGTGGTCAAGGGGGAGGTTTTTGCCTCAGATCTGCTAAGACAACTGAATGGGATCTTTTGTAAGAACAAGAAATGACCATGGCAAATAAGAGAGCTGGAAAACAAGAAATTCCTGTTGAGATTTCCACCTTGGAAGAATGTGGATGACCTAATTGAATTCCCTCCTTTTGAACTGCCTATTGCTGGAGTGTCTGTCAAGATTTGTGAATGGGAAGGTGTTGGAAATATGCCCTAGAGGCAATAATAAATGAGTTATTATTATATTTCCTTGTTCATGATAATCGTTTATTATCCATGCTATAATTGTATTGATAGGAAACTCAGATACATGTGTGGATACATAGACAACACCATGTCCCTAGTAAGCCTCTAGTTGAGTAGCTCGTTGATCAATAGATGGTTACGGTTTCCTGACCATGGACATTGGATGTCGTTGATAACGGGATCACATCATTAGGAGAATGATGTGATGGACAAGACCCAATCCTAAGCCTAGCACAAAGATCGTGTAGTTCGTATGCTAAAGCTTTTCTAATGTCAAGTATCTTTTCTTTAGACCATGAGATTGTCCAACTCCCGGATACCGTAGGAATGCTTTGGGTGTACCAAACGTCACAACGTAACTGGGTGGCTATAAAGGTGCACTACATGTATCTCTGAAAGTGTCTGTTGGGTTGGCACGAATCGAGACTGGGATTTGTCACTCCGTGTAAACGGAGAGGTATCTCTGGGCCCACTCGGTAGGACATCATCATAATGTGCACAATGTGACCAAGGGGTTGATCACGGGATGATGTGTTACGGAACGAGTAAAGAGACTTGCCGGTAACGAGATTGAACTAGGTATCGGCATACCGATGATCGAATCTCGGGCAAGTACAATATTGTCAGACAAAGGGAATTGTATACGGGATTGATTAAGTCCTTGACATCGTGGTTCATCCTATGAGATCATCGTGGAACATGTGGGAGCCAACATGGGTATCCAGATCCCGCTGTTGGTTATTGACCAGAGAACGTCTCGGTCATGTCTGCATGATTTCCGAACCCGTAGGGTCTACACACTTAAGGTTCGATGACGCTAGGGTTATAAAGGAAGTTTGTATGTGGTTACCGAATGTTGTTCGGAGTCCCGGATGAGATCCCGGATGTCATGAGGAGTTCCGGAATGGTCCGGAGGTAAAGATTTATATATAGAAAGTTGTTGTTCGGGTTCCGGAAAAGTTCGGGTTTTTTCGGTATTCCGGAGGGGTCCGGAGGTCCGGAAATTGTTCCACCGCGTCCAATACAGTAGCATGGGTTGTAGGGGGGGCCCTAGCCTTAATGGGCCAGGGGCACCAGCCCCCCCAAGGCCCATGCGCATGGGAAGGGGAAAACCCTAAGGGGGAGGGCCTCCACTTGACTTGGGAGGCACTCCTCCCCCCTTGGCCTCCGCCCCTCCTCAGATTGGATCTGAGGGGGCCGGCCCCCCTCTCCCTTGCCCCTATATATATGTGGGGGATGGGAGGGCAGCCGCACCACAAGTTCTGGCGCAGCCCTCCCCCTCTCCCAAGTACTCCTCCTCTCCCGCGGTGTTTGGCGAAGCCCTGCAGGATTGCCACGCTCCTCCATCACCACCACGCCGTTGTGCTGCTGCTGGATGGAGTCTTCCTCAACCTCTCCCTCTCTCCTTGCTGGATCAAGGCATGGGAGACGTCACCGGGCTGTACGTGTGTTGAACGCGGAGGTGCCGTCCGTTCGGCACTAGGATCTCCGGTGATTTGGATCACGACGAGTATGACTCCTTCAACCTCATTCTCTTGAACGCTTCTGCTTAGCGATCTACAAGGGTATGTAGATGCACTCCCCTCTCTCTCGTTGCTAGTTTCTCCATAGATACATCTTGGTGATTCGTAGGAAAATTTTGAATTTCTGCTACGTTCCTCAACAGTGGCATCATGAGCTAGGTCTATTGCGTAGATTCTTTGCACGAGTAGAACACAAAGTAGTTGTGGGCATTGATTTTGTTCAATATGCTTACCGTTACTAGTCCAATCTTGTTTCGACGGTATTGTGGGATGAAGCAGCCCGGACCGACCTTACACGTACACTTACGTGAGACAGGTTCCACCGACTGACATGCACTTGGTGCATAAGGTGGCTAGCGGGTGCCAGTCTCTCCCACTTTAGTCGGAACGGATTCGATGAAAAGGGTCCTTATGAAGGGTAAATAGCAATTGGCATATCACGTTGTGGTTTTGTGTATGTAAGAAACGTTCTTGCTAGAAACCCATAGCAGCCACGTAAAACATGCAAACAACAATTAGAGGACGTCTAACTTGTTTTTGCAGGGTATGCTTTGTGATGTGATATGGCCAAGAAGAATGTGATGAATGATATGTGATGTATGAGATTGATCATGTTCTTGTAATAGGATTCACGATTTGCATGTCGATGAGTATGACAACCGGCAGGAGCCATAGGAGTTGTCTTTATTTATTGTATGACCTGCGTGTCATTGAACAACGCCATGTAATTACTTTACTTTAATGCTAACCGGTAGCCATAGTAGTAGAAGTAATAGTTGGCGAGACAACTTCATGAAGACACGATGATGGAGATCATGATGATGGAGATCATGGTGTCATGCCGGTGACGATGATGATCATGGAGCCCCGAAGATGGAGATCAAAAGGAGCAAAATGATATTGGCCATATCATGTCACTATTTGATTGCATGTGATGTTTATCATGTTTATGCATCTTGTTTACTTAGAACGACGGTAAGAAATAAGATGATCCCTTACAACAATTTCAAGAAGTGTTCTCCCCTAACTGTGCACCATTGCTAAAGTTCGTCGCTTCTAAGCACCACGTGATGATCGGGTGTGATGGATTCTTACGTTCACATACAACGGGTGTAAGACAGATTTACACACGT